GAAATTTAAATTAGCCTTTCTGGCCTCGCTTGAGATAATGTTTTCTTTTGAATTTTGTACTGGAGAACGAGGCCAGAAAGGTTAATTTAAAATTAAACAAAAGAATATTAATCTGGCAGCCATTTATGAAAGTGGTCTATGGTAAGCATAAGCGTCAGCTAAAAATTAAAAGGGAGCTAAGAAATTTAAGATTTGGTAAGATTTGTCTAATATCTTGGGGGCGTTTTTAATAAAACCATTATTCCACTCGCGCTTGTTGGATATGACATGATTATAGCGAACTCGGCGCTACGCGCCTCGTTGGCTTTCTATCACCTCATATCCAACGTGGGCTCGTAGAATAATTGTTAAATAGATCAGAGATCGCCCTCACCTAAGGGAGGTTCATGGCACTGTGTGAGATGCAGTGTGCTATTTGTTTACGCTCTGTAATCCGGATCAAATGATCCGGGCTCGAGCCTCGGTCGGGTTATTTTGTTCTTGGGAAAAACAATTTTCTTCCAGTGGGACTCTTTCCCTCCCTGACCCTTACCTGTTGTACCTGCTGGTGCATTTTCTCTCGAGAAAGTAACCACATCAGTTCTCTCAAAATCCTTAGCATCCCTTGCTAGGCAACGGATCTATTTCCTATCCTCTGGTCCTGGAGCTTTCAGCGATGAAAGATCCAGCACTTTACAGACAACACCTATTGGTGGAACTGATTCGGACTGGAGAGACTGGGAAACATCGCGAGGTTGGACAAGAGATTTTTCTTGATTCCATAAAATGTGAAAAAAGAAACAACAAAATCACTTGCTTCCAATTACCCATTATTCTGCATTTCCAAGGAAACATGTTATGTACTTCTTTCGATGAAAAAAGGGCAGAAAGAATAACCTTTGATAGGCAATAACAATTGGGTTGAGAAAGTATTTTGCTTCATACAAAACAACCACAATCATAGAAGGCAATTTACAGGAAACTGACCTTTTGAAAAGAGATCAACTGCCCCTTTTCTCTCATTAACAGCATCGTGGAGTGGGTTAAATTCCCCTTCGAATCGTTCAGCCACGAAGGTCTGGACTTGGCAATATCCTGGGTTCCCTGATAAGTTAGAAAAGGATGTATTTAGGCCCTTTGTAAGTAAATAGAAATTATAAAACACAAAAAAAAAAAAAAAAAAAAGGAAGAAACATACTTTGTGGAAAGGGAACTAACATCACGTCTCTTTCACCGCCTACACTTGGTCTTTGTGGCTGAATAGATGCTACAGCTTCGCCGGGTAAGACAGGCGATTTCTTCTGACATCCATCTTGAATCCCTATTACATAGAAAAATATGAAAATTGCACCATAGCAATCGTTTTATGGTAGGCATAAATACCAAACTACAGAATGATCACGAAGAGAAACTGCTCTTATCGCTGGAACTGATCGACCGATGTTACCGCCACAGAACTGCAGTTTTATAGCTTTAAACGGCTGGACATTTAGGTGGTCATTATATGGAGTTATCAAGTAAGATACTTGGTTACCCGGATGTAAAGAGATTTTTTTTTTAGTTACTTTTACAAAAAAAAAAAAAAAAAAAAAAAAAACTCTATGTTAACGTATAGAGTGGTGTTTTGGTGTAGTGTAATCTGATCGGCGCAATTTGGTATATCTCTAAGCAGTCTGATTGGCGCATTTTCTGGTGTATCTCAAAGCAATGTGATTGGCGCAATTTTTTGGTGTATCACAAACCAATCAGATTGTAGTATTTTTCGATGTCGCACCAATCAGAGCGTTCTTGCTGATTTGTGGTTTGACAGGTCTTACAAATTTCAGCGAATCAACGCGTGACTCGGAGAAAGCGGTTCGCGAATTAAGGAAACGTATTAGTCGAGTTGGGAAAGCGGTGGAGTTGTGATCGTTGTACGATTATGGTTATTCTTCGTTCTAAAGGAGACTGAGTGGAACATAAGAAAAATTTTGAATCAAACATTGTTTGAGATGTTGATGGAAGCAACTTCAAAATACTAGGCCAGTATTGACTGTTATGAATGGATTGCTCCCGCGGTCCCGATGTCGAAAAATAATATTAAAAGAGAGGAGATTTAAACCAGTGGTCCCGCATTCAAGCTTTCCTGAAGTCGAAGAATAATGAAATAATATGGCCGTTAAACTAACGCCTCCGTAGTCGTGTGCTTACGAAGTCGAATGATATAGCAAGAGGGCCGTTAAACTTGTACTCCCGTAATTCCGCGTTTTTGAAGTTGAAGAATAATTGAAGGAAAGGGGAAGTTTACCTAGTGTTGACGCAGTCCAGCGCTTACTTTATTTCGTTTTCTCGACTGAGGGATATCTCATTGCGATATATGAATTCCATTTTGAATTTCGCTTAAAGAACGAGGTAAGAATGACATCTTTAAGAATTGTGAGTTCATCTACCCAGTGAAATGGCTGTCCTTCGTGAGGACTTAATCGCTATGATCTGTCGGGACTAGGCATTTTTTACTCCCAATTGCAAGTTAAACCCTGCATCGTAAGTACTTTTGTTCTTGGGCCATCGTAATTTGATCAAAAATAAGACACAAGCAGCAGTGATAAACATATTGAACTTGCACATTTTGATTATGACTTGCCGTCTCGTATGTACTCAACATACATTTTTAAAAGTAACCTTTGGAATTTAAAACAGCTATGTATAGATATAACTAAGGTGAGGGGACTGGAACCAAGATTAAGCAAAAAAACTTAACAATAAACAATAACACTAGAGCAGATTATAAAGCAAGAATACTTCAGCCATTCCTTAACACGTCAAGGCCACTGGACATAATATCAAGTGGGATCATTTTGATATTTTGGCGAAGAGCAAAACAGACTACCATTTTAAAATCAAAGAGTCCTTACTTATTCAAAAACTTGAGCCAGCTTTCAACGTGAACGACGGAAGTGAAAAGTTGTTTTCTGCTGTGTATTGTCGTTTCTGTGGTTCTATATGGCGAATTTGAGCGATTTGGTAGATTTAGCGTTGACTGTTACTTTACTGTATAAGAAGGAGACAGGGGTGGAAAGCTCATTTTCAACCGCTCCAGCGCAAAGCCGATTTTCACCCAGAAATTAGAATCGCCCGCCTTCTAAATCAAACACCAGATAAACTAAATGGTTGACGCTTCTTCTCGTGTCATTAAAATCGAAATAATTTGAATATATCAACAAAGTTGAAATGGTAAATTGGCCACCTTTACGATTATAAAAGCTGGCGTTTCGAGTGTTAGCCCTTCGTCGGAGCGAATAGAGGAATTGTGGGTTGTGTGTGCTTTTAAAGGCAGAAAAAGGAGCTACCTGATTGGTGGGAACATGGCAACGAGAAAAACAAGAATAAATACGCGGAATGAAAAGCGGTCGTTGATACCTGTGGGATTTAGACTGCCGGTTTGAAAGATGAGCTTTTGTTGAAGAGTTTTCCGGCTTTCCGTGCTACTTAAGTGTAAGGAAAGACCGCAGATTGCCATGTGTTACTTAGAGTGGTTAGGTAAATTAAAATGTCTAGCGACTGGTTTCGATGTGTCCTTGTCATTCCTCTCCACGTCGCGAAGGTGTTCTCGGAAACGGTAACCTAGTCTTCTGTTTGTTTCGCCGATGTAAATCTTTTTGCAATAAGTGCAAGTTCTGCAATAGATTACATCGGCGGAGGTGCACGTGAAGTGATCAGTAATCTTAATGGATCGTTTGGGTCCCAATATTTTCTGTGTTGTGAATGAAAGGACACGTTTTGCATCGTGCACGAGCGCATTTAAAGGTGCCTGGTTGGTCATTAGTCTGAAAAGAACTTCTGACCAAAAAATTGCCTATGTTTTTGTCGCGTCTGAATGAAATGAGCGGAGGCTATGAAAAGATAGTGCTTGTCTCTGGATTGAGGGTGAAACGTGAGAGTGAATGGAATGCGGTCGGAATCTTCCTTTTGTGACGTTTCTAGTGCTGAATGTCGAACAATAAGTTGGCCGTCATTCAATCGAAGATCCATTCAAAATCCAAGCGCTAACCGCCAAAAAACTTTCGAGAAATGCAGCTTTCCAAGCGATCGGCATCCGCGGCACAGATTTCGTGTGCCAGGGAGCAACCGTCACGCTGTTTGCTCCACGCTGATTGGATGATGGTAAACAATGCCCTGTTTCAAATGCCTCATGTGAGAGGGGAGTCAGGGGCATATTCGCGCCGGCGATTCATCTACTGACTAGCCTGGTGTGAGGTTTATGGCGCGTCATAAAATCACCGGCTTGAATATGCCCCTGACTCCCCTCACATTAGGCATTTGAAACAGGGCATTGGATATGTTGGTTACACTCGCGGCTACCTCCACGAACGCGTTGGTGAACACAAACAAAAATCGTCGTCAATTTGTAAACATTATTTTAGCGAACATAACTCTAACGTACCACCTTGTCTTTCAGAACAATTTCACACGCTTACTAAATGTTCTAGCAACTTTGATTNGCAAAAATTTTTTTTATTTGCTCAAATCTTCAATTTTCTATGCCCAGTCAAAATACGGAAAATCGGCCGCCATCTTGCCCCACGACCGAGTTTAAAGAGGAATGGCTCTAGTGGGTAATGTGACGTCAAATCGAGAACACGAAAGTCTGCATCTCACACATTTTCACTTGTTTGGGAAGATTGTCGTCGATATTGTCCGAAATATGCCGACTAGGTGTGTTGTATGAAGAATGTATGAAGCGCGATACCCTCTTGCAAATTTCGCACGTTGCTACATCCTTCTACAACACACTTAGTCGGCATATTTTCGGACAATTATCGACTACAACCTTCCCAAACAAGTGAAAATGTGTGAAATGCAGACTTTCGTGTTCTCGATTTGACGTCACATTACCCACTAGAGCCATTCCTCTTTAAACTCGGTCGTGGGGCAAGATGGCGGCCGATTTTCCGTATTTTGACTGGGCATAGAAAATTGAAGATTTGAGCAAATAAAAAAAATTTTTGCGCAGAAATACTCAAAAAAATAAGCTTACTTCGTTAAGCGAAAAAAGTTTTTTGGGTGTAGGTGCACTTTAAGGTAAAAAGGTAGGGTTTTTTTTTCCAGTTCAGTTCGGTTAGGTTTCACCTTACGCCCGCGTCCGTGTTCTTGTCTTGTCCACAACTCACCACGCTCCACCAACAAACGGTGCCCTGCCAAACCAAACTCCCGATTCTCCATCCAGGTTCCCGTCTCAGCAGTTTTCAACTTTGCTCGTGTCCTTCGTTTCAGCTTTGCTTCGTCTTCTGAAAACTTTGCAGTTTTCAACTTTTTACTTCTCGTAACTTGACTCGCTCAGACTTGTTGTTGAATCAGTTACTATCTCTTCTTCCTTTAGCTCACAGTCTAGTAGATTCTTTGCACACCCGTCCCACCGGCAAATGGTTTTCTACTTTGAAGTGGAAACGATTTTTCTGAAAGAACTTGTCAGAAATGATATTGTGCCGAGTCTCCGTTCTCTCCAATTTTTCCACGCTCTTCGCTCGTAACTCACAGACCTTCACCTCACTTCTTTGTAACCGTGCCCAATTCCTTCATTATATACGGATGCAATGTGCGAGAAAAAGGGGAGAAAACTATTGAATATATAGACTAAAGGTCAATTACACGATTAAAGAATACGAATTACGTAACAGATACAAATACCACACACTAGCCATATCCTAAGAGAGTAAAAAAATGCACTACATAATCCTAAGTTAATTATTTTTGAAAACTTTCATGACACTCCCTTCCTTCGTTCCATCATTCAGTTGAAAGACTACAACTTGCTTGCTTTGCAAAGTTAGTAGCTGTTTTTTGGCTAAAGTCACTGGTTCAAACAGTCAATTGTTTTCGTTTCAAATAAACAAAAATAGTAGCCCTTCAGATGAGAGCACAATGGAGTCAATGACTAGGAAAGCAAATATTGCAGATCTGTAATTGAATTTGTTTTGGAGCCAAGTTTTCTGGAATGGTTTTTTTTTTTTTGGTTAGACAAATTGTTTGACTGGCTAACTTACATAAGCAAAACAAAATGAAATGGAAATCTGTACTTTGCAAAATGAACTTAAAATATGTAATTTAGGAAACGGTAGTCTGTAATTTGCCAAATGTTAATCTCTTAATCTCACAAATTTCAGAGAGCTGTTCAATTAAGAAATTGATGACAGAAAGGACTGAATGGATAGACTAATTAAAGTGCTACAGAAACGAAATTTTCGTATCTGAAATTTTTGCTCTAACCTGTACTTTTGAACATGGTGATCGTCATGAGATAATTTGCGAAATGGATTGATGACGTCACTGGTTGTGTTCACTCCGATAGCATGGTTTATTTCACTCACTGTTTGTTTGTATTCGTGGGCGAAGGAGATGGCAGATATTGAAGTTTTGTCAAGTGAATCTTCTTCTGAACGAAGCGAAGTTGTCTCCAGTAGCGAAGAGGAAGATGGTGCCGTAAAATGGGTTTGACCGGCCTACACGACTCCCCAGCGTGTGTTTTGAGTAGCCTATTCAAAGTTTAGCCCTCATGAGTATGTCTTTGAGCGACCGCCCTCTTTTGTAAGATACGAGCGGCGGATTTTTGTATAGTTCGCTCAGTAGTGGTTGTGTTTCTATTAAATGCCAGTTTTTCATGAGAATTTGCTTTATGTGTGGCACTGAGTACGCACATCAGGGATTGCGTCTTTTTCGAATCGTTCGCCTTTGTAGATGTACAGCTATTTTTTTGACTGTCTCGATCGTTAAGTTGTCTTGATTGCTTTCAGCTTGCGCCACGCGCGCTGATTCGATCGTACTACAGTTCTTAGTGTTCAGTGTTCCAGCCGTTTTGGCTCGTTTTCTTTTCTTTATTTCGGTATTAAAACGACCGATTTCACGTTCATAGAAGCACATGATCGCCTTTACTGTTTCTTGCTCCGCGTTGTTAAGGATTTGCTTTATCTCATTTTTGAAATCCTCGTCTGCTCTTATTTTGGCCCTCGCCCTATATTGTAGGGATTCTGGGCATGTTCTGCTAGGCATTTGGTACAGAGGGATTTGTTCGTTATCCTCAGACTTGCCGAGTAGATCATCTTCAGTGGCGGTGTCGTATGAGGCTTCCATGTTTTCTTCATTCTCTGAATGGCATTGCTTTGGCCCGGGGCGTTTAGTAGCCCATCTGCCGTTATAATGTCTTTCGAGCCGATTAACTAAATAGACTGGTAGAGATTCGTTCTCGGTATCAGTCGGGAATTTTGCTCCCTATCCAGGCGAACCTCTCGCAGATAGCCAAGATGCCGATATGGCCGCCGATGAAGAAGACGAGGATGGCATTTTGCCCAAAATCCTCTTTTTCGGCTTCCCAACATGCAAGCCACACTCCATGCTTTTACCCTTCTTTCACAGAAGTACACAACCAGTGACGTCACAGGGCTGTTTTGGCAGCGCCAAGATGGCCGCCAATTTTGATCTCAGCCGGTCAACTTCGAATTGTTAAAAATGTACTTTCCGCTATGCGTTGGCCCATAAAAAGTACACAGCGTTTGCAAATAACGTTGAAACTCTATTATGTTGCAAAAATCTCGGATATGAAAATTACGTTTCAGTAGCACTTTAATTGATGATTGAATGATTGGAACAGACAGATATACCTGGACTAGGAACTGGGTCTGACGCCTACTCACAGACCTGACTTTTTCCCTTCCTAACAGTGTAGAGATTGCTTGAGCTTGAAATGTTACATTTGCTATTTCTGGTGTCTCCTGACCCACCTGCATCCAGTAAAGATATGAATAATATGAATATAGATATATAGACCACTTTCATAAATGGCTGCCGGATTAAAATTCTTTTGTTCGCATATAAATTTGCCTAGGTGGCCTCGTTCTCCAGTACAAAATTAAAAAGAATACATTATCTCAAGCGAGCCCACTCGGGCAAATTTAAATTTAAACAAAAGAATATTAATCCAGCAGCCATTTATGAAAGTGGTCTATGTAATATATCAACCCCAAACCCCAATTTGGACTTCGACCAACAATATGTTCTCAAATATAACCATTAATTTTTGGAAAAACTGTACCATTGAAATTTAAATATTTACATGGAGTATGTGACCCTTGACATTAGTATATACTATAACAATGGATAGCATTGAGGGCACACTCTGATCGGCTACTCAAACTTAAAGTATCCTTTACTATTCACTTCTGAGCAAGATGCACAAGATTTTTTGTGGCCAAGAATATTGTAACTTTTGCAGGAATAAATGAATAAAATTAATACTTTTATGCTATATTATCTAACTTTTTTAGTAGATACAAAAACAACTATTCACTTCCTTGTCAGGGACTAGCACTGGATATCTACCTCGCTGTTCATAGCTTGGTAAATATGCACCTTCATGCAGCCATCTCCACTTTGGTGAAAAGTCGTTGTAACTGCATGAAATTTAGTGAAACCCTCTGCCTATCAAAAGAGAAAACTTACCAAATGCAAGTTCATACATCATCTTAACAAGATCACCACAAGGCTTTTCCCAGCTGTACACCTTGAAGTAGTTATGACAAAGAATCTTAGCCTCTTCAAGTCGTAAATTCCTGGTTTTGCGACTCACAGCCTTTATTGCACTGGCCCATTTGGCAGGATCCTCTGAATCCACTATACACTGTGACCCATGGGGCACCTCATGTAAGGCTTGTGCAATTCCTGAGTTTTCACTGACAAGTACTGGAAGACCAGCAGATATGGCCTCAAGAGCACTCAAACCAAATCCCTCGCTTCTTGATGGCAATATAGCAATATCCACCTCACAGAATAAGTTGGCTAATGTTTCCCTGTCTCCATCAAAGCTGCGGACAATTAGCTGATTACGACTAATACCACACTGAAGTAACTTTTCTGCTATTTCATCTTCTTTTCCTCTCTGTTTGGTAGCAAACTTGAGTTGGTATGATTTATCCTGTAGGTTAGCAATAGCTTTTGCACCAATTTCGTATCCTTTAGCATCAAAATCTTCACTATCACCACTCTCGATTACCAAGACACAAAATGTTTTTCTTTCATCACTTGCTTGCTGCACATCTGAAAATTCAGTGAAAATGCTTGGGGTCAGGTTAAAAACATCCTGTTTTTTGAGTTGGCGCTTGTATATTTCAGTTAGCTTGGGGCCAATGGCTACTACTTGATCAGCCATTTCACATAGTTCTATTTCTGTTTTCTGCATTTGTTGACCTTTAGAAATGCTTTTGTACATTCCAATTTCTTCAGGGGCGGAATGGACAACTTGAATCCATTTGCAATGACTGCACTTTTTGTTTTTCTTAATAAGTGGAATTTGCCGACCAAGACCTACTCCATGCCCTATAACACAATCCATTGCATGACCGTCAGGTACAGAGGCTAACCAATCATCTGGTTCATAACCAGGAATTTTAACAGCCTCGATTAGTTTAACACTGTAGTTACTATCAGCACTTTTCTTGTCCTCTTCACTACACTGAGGTAAGAAGACACTGACTTCCACATTGGGATGTTTAGCCATCTGTATTGCTAGCTCTCTGTTAATGGTTGTCAAATCTCCATTGCTTGAAGGTTTCCATTCAGCACTCAGCAGGGTGACTCTCAGTTTTCTTTCCCCACAGTCTTTCTGTAAGCACAATATTTATGATTTTGGAAAATTAAATTATATGTATTGAATAAAAAAAACTCATTTCATGAATTATTTTACTTTTCAATTTTCGATTCATTTGGGAACTTCCCAAACCTAAAAACAGATAAGTGAAAGTTGTACAAAGATTTCCTTAGCTTTGATCATCCAGAAAGAAAAGTACACACATTTCCATGTCTTGAGTAAAAAGGTTTGGACAATTGTGATCATGAATTAGTCCTCAGACCCTATATGAGGAAATTCGAATAGGACATTCCAAAATTCTGCGAGGTTTTTACAAAACTTTGTCCTTCCCTTGAGTCAAAGGTTGTTGCTGTAAAATCATCTTTTATTTTTAAGTGACATGAACTTACTTTACTCTCCTATTAATTTTTTTCCCAAACAGACCTCCCACCCGGTAAAAACATACAATTATATAGTTTTCAATCTGCTGGCATGTAATTTGCTCCTGAAGTGTGAGGGTTGGCAGGAACAAACAGATAAAAAAATGTATTTAAATCCGAATTCTCAATAGAATGAAATGACACTAGAGTGAATAAAAAAACTCTTTTTAGCATGTTGTGTCAAATATTGCCACTGTTAATTATTTTCAAACAAAGTTAACTGATACACTACCTCTAATTGTCTGGACATCGTAGGCACCTTTACGGTCAATGCTGATAAGGATGTTGCTAAAATAAACATCAAAAATTTAATTAGTTGCAAAAAAACCGTTTAATCACTGACATGAGACTACCATATTACATGGCAACTTGAAATTAAGAATACAGGACTTTTTGCACAAGTTTTGGACCGTTTGCACAATTCTTAAGGGTCGTTTCGAACGATAATTATAAGTGAGAAACATGAATATAAAAGGTATTCTAATTGATACTAAAAAGATATTTCACCTTCACATGTCATTTTAAATAGGATCCAACCACGAGAACATAGATATTTATTTACATAATAACTTCAACTAGATCGAAACGTTTGTGAACATGATCACGATATTCTTGCTTAAAGAAAGGAACAAATCTTTCTCTCTATGATAATGTAGTGACAGTTACTTTCAAAATCAACATGGCGTCCTTAGCGTGGGTCGTCGATGTTTGTAGTGGTGATGTACTGTCAAAACTAAAAAGTTTTTCATTTAACAAAGTAAAAGTAATAGAAGTAATCGTTCAAATAGGGAGTTCTTTACACTTTCATGGAAAGAAAGATTTGTTCTTTTCTTAAAGTAAGTAGTGGTTGTGTTCACAAGCGTTTTTGTGAAGTGTTTTGGGTAGAGAGCGTATTTTGCTTCATACATAGCTTAAAGAAAAAAAGAAACGAAGATAATCATAGAAGGAAATTTACAGGCAACTGACCTTCTGAAACGCGATCAACTGTCCCTTTGCTCTCATTAACAGCATCTTGGAGTTGGTTAAATTCTCCTTCAAATTGTTCAGCCACGAGGGGCTGGACTTGGCAATATCCTGGGTTCCCTGTTAGGTTAGAAAAGGATAAATTCAATAAAAGACGATAGATAAACAATAGAAATGAACAAATGTATAACAAGAAAAAAAGGAAGAAACTAACCTTGCGGGAAAGGAACTGGCAACATGTTACTTTCATTGCCTATACTTGGTCGATGTGGCTGAATATATGTCACAGCTTCGCCAGGTAAGACAGGTGATTTCTTCTGACATCCATCTGAGATCCCTGTTACAAAGAAAAAAATGATTATTGGACCAAATGAATCGTTTATGGTTGGCATAAAATACCAAACTACAGAATGACCGTGAAAGGAAACTTCTCTCATCGCTAGAACAGATCGACTGACACGAGATCAGAGTTATAGCTAACCTTTCCCAAGTTGAGTTCCCCCTCCACGTTGATGAGTTTCCATCTGCTGTTGATAAAGACAGGTAGTCAATATGAATATAGGCTTCTATGGACAAATTAGGCGAAATGAGTACGAACGAATGAAAACGAATAATTACCCAATCAGTTGATCGTGAATCTGAGATAAGATGAAATCCATTATTTCCCAAATAGGAGTATTCGCTATCAAACCTTATACACGATTCCTATAAAGGTAATCCGACGGGAAGTAGGGGGTTGAAGTCTTACTTCTTGGAAATGGCAGCTTTAATGCGTCCTAACACTAAATCAACTGGCAAACCCCTCGGCACGAAAGGCAAAAAGGGCCCCGGGAAACACTTTGAATTATTCGAAAAACATTAAACAAGTCTCGTTCACACGTAAGAGCTGCTAATATTTGCTATTAAACCGTTTAGCCCATGTAGTCTCTATGTAAAATTGTCGATCATGATAATGCTTGGGAGGATGTTTGCGCATCTCTTGAAGGTTCTGGCAATCCAATTTATCATGAAATAAATAATTTTGGAAGAACGAAGCTGTAACGAAATATAAATCACGTGAAAATGCATCTGTTTTTCCTAAAATGTTGCTACCGCATTACCATAGACGATTAGCCACTTCTTTGCTCGTGCTCAGAATTGTTGAGAACTTGGTCATGAATGAAAGTAACAACTTTGCTGCGCACACATAATTTCTAATCGGGTGTGGTTACCAATTAATAGCAGGATGTAAACATCTTTTCTCACCTTTTCCTTACCAGGAGAAATCCATGGAGCAAACTGCTCGACCTGAATCCTGTTATCCACAGTGGTTACTGAATTGTTACATACGGCCAGCATTTCATCCCTTAAATTTGACTCTGAAATGAAGTGAAGGCATTCCTCTTGCTCACAACTTTCTTTGCGATGTCGTGTGCAGAAGCTGACCACGCGTCCATGGGAACAAACAGGACAAAGGAAACTCACTTCGCATCCAACGTTCTTCACCCAGAAGAATTTTTGCCACATGCGATCAATGATCGAGGTTAGCTGGTTTCGAAAAGCTCGAATTGAGGCCACATCGACCACATCAGTGGCACTTTTTACACTGAGGACAACGACCTCGATTGTGGAAGAGTGGCAAAGGAGAACCACGGAGAGGCCTTGTTCCGGAAAGATGGAAAATCTGGCAAAATTGTTAAAAGTTTTGGGGAGATCTACGCCGGGAAATTCTTTTCTACACCACTGCAAAAATTCCAGCACAAACCGAGGAAACAAGCCAGGTGGGACCCGACCTGTGTCGAATTTGAGAAAAAGAGAGGGGATTTGCGAAGAGTCAACTAGATGACTAATCTGATTTGGCGGAAGCGTTTGCAACATAGATGGCACCAAGAAATGTTTGTTGCTCGAGTCATCTGATGATGGCCAAGGACACATCAAGCTGAATTTTTCCATAATCGCGATAAGAGTTTTATGGGTTTTTTTCCGAGGAGTTAAAGAGCTCCAAACATTTTTGAGAAGTTTTTCTTCCAGTATTCCCTCTTCCTGGAGTTTTTCCCACAGATGTGCAAATTCTTTGTCTTCGCGATGGAACCTGACAGTTATTACACTCTTGAATACGTCAATCAACCACTGAATATCCAAGAAAACTACCTCTCTCAATTCTGGAGAATCGTCAAAGTGAATCAAAACTCGCAGATCGTGCAAAAAGTTTAGCAGTGTCTGTACCTCGTTTTCGTTAATGTTACAAAATTTGGAAGCAATATATTTTGCTGTAGAGAGGGTGATAAACTTGTGATCATCTTCCTTTAGGACGCGAAGGACATTTTCGTATCTCAACCACTTAATCGGAATAACCTCGTTCACGTGTGGTAACTTTTTAGAAACGAAATGTACGGCCTCTCGTAGGCGCATGATTTCTTTACATTCGGACTCAGTGCCTGATTTAGTGTTATCAACACAAAACACGTCAAACAAATGGGCACCATATGGCTTTTTTTTCAAATCGCCAAATATTTTACTGGCAAGTTTAGATGAATCACGATTGTTATAGGGATGATCAGCATGTGTGCACACCAGAAAGACGGCTGGAAATTTCTTCAAAGGCACCCCTGTTTCGGGATCCACTTGTTGGCAATCACTCTGTTCCACTAGGGAAGCCAAAGAACTCATCCAAAAGTCTAAATAGTCAAAGTTCGTTTTCAGATTATGTTTATCTTCAATCTCTTCATAAACTCCCTGCTTCGACAACGGTTTGGCTTCTTCGCTCGGATCTCTGCTCAAGTCATAGACCAAAAAGTAGATTGCTCTTCTTGTGAGAAAGAGGGGATGCGTCACGTAATACACTGATTGTCCAGCAAAGTCCCACATTATTGAAAAGATGTCTTCTCTATCGTCTTCCCAGTTGTCTCGAAGGAGCTGGGGAAGTACCGTCGCAACTTCGTCGAAATCCGGCAATCTTTCCAGTGAGGTGGGAAGAAAATCTACTTCTGGTTCTAATTCAGTAGGAGTCCGTACTTCTCCCGTTGGTAAATGAGGTTCATGGTCGGTGGTATTGGTTGGTACTGGATTTCTGGATGATTCTAAGACGTCTGCTAAGCTTGGATTCTCATTGGGTTCGCTTTCCTCTGGGCTGGCAATTTCTTCATTTGACTCGACTGAGCTTGTTCTTTTGACTTCTGCAACTTTTTCGCGCGTGGTCAATTTCTCTGCAACCCACTGTGCTGTCTTATGCTCAAATGAAATAACCTCGGTACCAATGTTTGCCTCGTCTTTTTTTCCTGTCTTCCATATTTCGGTTGTTACTTTAAACTGATAGCAATCGACGTCAATTCCCTTGGTGCTATCCTCTTCTGGGTCGAAGCAAATCCCTTTCAAGGACTTCTTTACGCTGGTTTTTCCAGATCGATCCTGTCCAACTATTAATAAAGGCACTCTCCTGACACATGCTTGACCTTCAGCTAGGGCATTTAAGTAGGTTGCCAAAGCCAAAGGACCTCGAGCACGAATCGCTGGAGGAACTGCAACTAAAGGAAATAATACTTGTAGTTTGGAGACGAAATGTGACAACAACAATGAAAAATACGTATCGCTTGCATACAGCGATGTTCTAATTTCCCTAAAGAGGGAAGGAACCAGATAAAAAACAAACAAGCAGAAGTTACTTGGCTTTGGTTATGGCATTTTTCGCGGCCGAGAAGTTAATCGACAACTCAAAGATAACTCAGAATTTTGCGAATTGGATGTTACTCCCGATATTTGTTTTTGTAATGATTTAACGCAATTTTTCACCTTGAGCCTTATCGCTCATGAACTTTGTGACTTTTTTCGCGGATTGAAATCATTAACAAGTTAACTTTTCTTGTCAGTAAAAACATCTTGTGTTCATATAATAAAAAATAATAATGTAAGGTTGCGTGTAGATATGGAATTTCTCTTCTCGTTTTCGAAATCAATATCCCACCCGTTCGCTGCAGTCACTCGTGAGAAACCGAGTTGAACAAGAGACACGCTTCACAAATAGCCTGAATGTGATTTAGACACTTAAGACAAAGATGACATCACTTCTACATCTTAATGTTTTGCCTGGCTTAGCAACGTACTGTAACAGAAATTACATGCCGCTTTGGAAAGGTCCCGTTCGTTACCTTTGGTTATTCTGATTCAGTGAATTTCCGTGTTAGTATATTTCCATGTTTTTAATTTGAAAAATAGATAATAGAGCCCTTAACTGACGCTGGCGCGAGCCATGCTGGAACTTGTCAATAAAAACATATTAGAATTTTGTTAAACTTTTGAACTCTCTCTTCGACTCCCCACGACCAATGTTTTCAACTCACCTTTTCTTTCTACTCCATTACTCTTCAAGGCAGCAACAACAAAGCATTGAACTTCCTTGACAAACTCGAGAAACTCCGGTAGCTGTTGCACTAAACTCTCGGGTTTCCACAGCCCACCACTGAGCAGCCTGTCCCACTCTTCGCAATGTAGGTGTACATCAGTCTACGAAAAAATCAAAGTAGACAGAAACCATGATATAACCTGGCACTCTGCTCAGCAATATATATAAAGTATGAAGATAGAGATTGTCGTGGAAAGCAAACAGCACCTTTCCAAAAGGGCCTCTATTACTATTTTTTCCTTCATACAACATAAAAGCATTGCATGGTTTAAGAGTAACATCTGCAACACCCGCAGTGTCTGCGGAATTGCCCATAAATAAAAGTAAAAGAAAGTAGTCTCGCCACTTCGAGGTTTCTTTATAGTTTCTTCAGTTGAATCTGGTGGTTATCCACTCTGATAAAGCAATTAATTTCTTCGCTGTTTTAAAGATATTCCAGGAGTTAAGAATTTGTGGCAAAAATTGTGGAAGTTAACATCGCTGAAACTTATCACGCTCTTCATAATTAGGGGGCAAAATGAAGCAAACAGCCAATACCGATTCTCTGTAACTTCCATTTGTCGCATCAGCGCTCCACGATATTTCCTTCGACAGGATAACACTGAAACCAGGTTTAGACGTGTACACATTTCGTTTGGAAAGCCGCTTGTGAATCAAACGAAATCCCTGGGGCATCTCATTCTCGGGGAGTCTCAGGCCAAACGGGTCGTCATCCTTCAAAGTCAGCCCAGATAGATATCTTGCTAACACACGTATAACTTCTTCTTCGGGCTTATAAGCTACACGTTTGGCCCTTCCTATTAAAGCATACACCAAGAAGAACATTTTAGAAAGGTTTATCGATCCTAGATTAACAACTGGAAGGCCTCTATTTACGACGTTTTCGAAAAAGTCGCAGAAGTCATGGTATCACAATCATGCCGATTCCTAACCCACGATTAGTATTTCAATAAGGATATAATGTTTACTTTCTATATGGTTATACTTTGGGCAGACTGCTAAAATGTATCTTACTAAATATTGGGTGCTCTTAAGAAAAATTAGCGTTCCATGAAATCAGTACGAATTTGGAAGGCTCGGATTAACTAGAGTCGCGTTGAATGTTCATGATTCAAAATAGATCCAAGGATTTCAAGGTATTGTCGGAGGATTTATATAGTTCATTTGTAAATATGCTAATTTTTTAATGGATCTTCCTCGTCTTCAGTTTTTCTTTTTGGGAAAAGAGGCCACAAATTACTCATCAAGGATAGTTCTCTCTTATCATGGCCCTAATGGCTACCTAAATTACAAACCACCCACTTATTCCAATTAAGCAACGAATATTCATATACCTGCATGTTCATTGATTATGAGTCTGCAATCAAACTCACACCCGGGAAACAAAATATCTGCTTGCAAACATCTCCGCGACGGGAGAACCACCCAGCCTCGACTTCGCAACCGAGTGGATTCATCGGTGAAGTGAATCTCTTCCATGATATTTCTGACGTCAGTGACTGGGATTGGGATACCTTCTAGCTTCTCCTTACCATCCTTTTTTGTGACCCATACCTGAAAAGAAAAATGAAAAATTTTATGTAAAATCATCTTTAATTTGATTGCTTTTAGCTTTCCCATTCGAATGCTTTGTTTAGTAGCTGTCGTAGCTTAATACATACATATATTTAACATTAGTGGATAGTAGTAAAATTGGGCTTACTTACACAAAGGTTTTATCTTTTCGACACAAAGTAACTTAGTAGAGTCAGTGCTTATTAAAAACTTCTAGGTTGGGTTAGGCTTTCTCTTACTGTTTCTGTTACTGTGCAGATGTGCAGAGCAATAACTTCGAAACTGCCCGTAATGTTCAACGATAACACCTTGTTTCATATGACTTTTATTTCTTTATTTACCGGCCATTATTTTCAAAGTTTTCGTTATGTAATGAATTGCTTATAACATCATAAAAGCCGGCTATATCTCTCCAGAAAAATTTACCCAGGCCTGTTGTTATAATTGGGCTAGTCGCCGCCCATGTAATCAGACCCTTTAACTGACTTACCTTGCATCTCAATTGACGACTGCATGGAGTAAGGAATGTTAAGTCATATCTTGCGGCGTAATCACGATATTCTTTCGGTGTACTTTCATAGAAATAGTTTTCGAACGAATCTGCCATAAAATCCACGCCTTCTTGAAATGCAACCTTCCAATAATTTCCATCGGCTGAATATTGAAACCTTGTTGCTGCATCATCTATGCTCCATTCTCCTGGTGGGTAACAGAGCCTCTTTAAGTTTGGTTTGTACTGTTGTTAATCACTAGTTGGGACATCCTTGATTCGAATGGTTATTTCAAGTAAGAGGAAGAAAATGCATCGAGTAAAATTAGTTAATGATGAAAATAGAAATAAAAACAATTCCATACTAATACAGTGCTTTGTATAATGTTTAATCACAAGCGCTTAACGGTAACCTTAGCCTTCATTACATCCAGTTTGAATTCACTGGTGATCTTTGCAATCTAAATGGCTCTCGTCGGCGCAACTTATTCCTGAAAAGCACCATTATAGGTTCTTAATCGCATCTAAAACACAACAACCAATCAAATTTTAGGGCTTCTGTAAAGAAACCATTCAAGTTGAAGGAAAATGAAAGACAAATTTTGAAACTTATTAAATAACAGCTCAAAGCTGACGGTCAATGAAATATTTGTACAGACTAGAAACCTGAATTGGAGCGGCTGAATTTTGCGATTTCAAAATGAATTCAATGAAGTGGTAATTAAACTTTTTATCGTGCCATTTTGGTCTGAAATCACACTTCAAATCAAAGTCACCCTGTCCGCTCGTTTGATTTTGAAATCACGAGTATGATTTCAGACCTAAGTATATACAAGCAAAACTCTTAGCATGCTCATTGGTTAAGAACCCGCCAATTAATCCCAAACAGTAAGGAAAGTTGAAATAGAGTACAAAAGGTCCAAATCGAGTACAATAAGTTGAAATTAACTCGATTGACAAGCAAGTTGCAAAGCACAACAACAAAAAAATAGCGGAGAAAGTAACAAAGTTTTAATTCAGAGTTTGAGAGAGAACGCTTAAAAACAAACAAACCCCAACGAAGGAAAAACAACTGCATAAAAGTCTGGCTTCCAAAAACGGCTATGAAATTATGAACCAGAGGCCTTGAATAAAATTCATGGGGAGTTTTAGGCAAAAGTTCGTTCGAAAGATGGGGATGATCACGAGCGTGATAGCTTTCGTGCAATGGTTAATGCTGTCGACCGATATCTAACAGAAAAGAATTCAAATGCTCAATTATTCTTGACAGCAAGAGGTTTTAAAAGTTTGAAGCAAGTTCTTGAGGAAAAAGCCCGACTTCTCCGGCAACAAGGCAAAGGCAAGTGGCCAAACTGGTGAGTCATGACACGAAATTAGTTTTAACAATTTTAAAATTTTAACATTTGCATAAGGGCCTCACTAAAACGTTCTTTGATCTTGAACGTAAGGATAATGTTAAATACTTTGGGGTAATAATTGACCAACATTTATCCTGGAAACACCACATTAGTTATATTACTCTAAAAATCAGCAGAAATATTGGAATTATTTCGAGACTAAGACTCTTTCTCCCTTTAAAAACACTTCAAAGTCTTTACAATTCATTAATTTCTCCCTATATATCTTATGACCTCGTTGCCTGGGGCCAAGCTTCCAACTCTCATTTAGAAAAAATTCTTATACTCCAAGAGAGAGCTGTTCGCCTCATCAATTTTCTGACCTTCAGAACGCATGCGATTCCATATTTCGCCCAATCTAACATTTTGCCAATCTCAATGCTCTACTTCAAACTTTCATCAATCTTGATGTTTGATATAACCGCTAACATATGTATACTG